CATGCAACAAAAATTAAAATTGCAACAACTTAGTCGAAAACAATTCGTGGCTATTTCAATGATTGCGATTATTTTTATTACGTTCTATTATTGTTTTATTAGCGTTAAGGTATTTAATAGACTTTCGGCAAGTTTGTTTTTATATTTATAATTAATAGGATAGTTTTACCTCCCTTATAGGATGAAAATGCTTTAAAAAACGAATCTGGAAATAATTCCGGTTCCCTGTATGAAAGCATTGCGAACACAGCAAACAATTTTTCTGAGAAAATAACTAAGCTCAACATTCCTGGTGCGTATCAACGATACAAGTTTTGATTTGTTATTATAAAACAACTAATGGCTTTTTCCTATTGTAGAGAATTCAATCATGGATCGTTATCGTATCGTGTTCAGTGATCTAGCAACCATTCTCAAGAAGAGCAATGTCATTTCTGCGAATGGTCGGCCAATTTCTGACCGTCTTTCCGGTCTTGCCGATGAAATACGTGATGCTGGTGACGAATTGGGCGATTTCAGACATCACGCTTCAAACTTTTTCTACGCGTTACACACCGAAATGACTGCAATTCACGAGAAACTGGAAGAGATGGAAAGAGCTGAAAATACCCTTTTCTCTTCAATCGAGATTAAATTCCGCTTAACTGAAAATTTTGGAATGTTTGGTGGACAATTTCGTTCAAACGCTGACGATGAAGGGTTTATACAAGATCGCCTTAAAACTTTGGAAGATATGATACCTGAGTTTCAGGCACAATTAAAGAAGGTCATGGATTCGTTGGACAAAATTCAACAAAGTGCAAGTAACACGCACGAATATTTGATTGATGGGGAACGCGAAGCGGAACAAGCTCTGAAACGTGTATGGTTCGGTGCCATCACAGATTATGATGATCGTGTCAGGGCGGAAAATGAATTAGGTCAAGTTCGTCTTTCAATTGAAATGTTACGAGCGATGAAGTCGAATCTTGTAAAATTTGAAACTTTTTTGAAACAATATCGACGTCAAGTACAAGATGTTAAAACACAAATTCACGTGAATCGGGCGAACTTAAAACCCACTAAACAGGATATAAAGTATCTAAAGAACAGCGTCAAAAAATTAGAAGAACATCATCAGCAATTTGACCGAGCACAGAGTCGACTAGATGAGAAAGATTCCGGCGGCGAAAGATATTTGTTGTACGCTGACGATTATAGTTCTCGAAATCGAGATTGCGCTGAATTTCAAATTTTCTTTGAGAAACCTCAAGCCTATTTGCGCAGTATTCGTATCTGGAGTTCGCATGCCATTAATGCATTGGGTTTCATTTACTCGGATGACACCACTGAAATCTTCGGGGTGCCAGGGGATGCAACTCCTCACGATTTCATGTGGCAAGAAGGAGAGAGAATCAAGGAATTGAGACGCAGTATTGGAAGTATAATTTATGGAATTGAATTTGTAACTAACAAGGGTCGAACGAGTGGATGGCATGGTAGTTTAGATCGTGGAAATAAATATGTGATTCGAGGTGAAGGACAAGAATGGAATGGTATACATGGAAGTTTTTCGAAATATATATGCAGCATAGGTGTGATGTAAAAAATATGTAAATAGTCAAACAATCCTTGAATTTTAGCTTTATTAAATATAAAAAATATACATATATCCGATACGATAGAATAAATTTGACTATGAATAAGACCTGCTTTTCATGATTACCAAACCGACGCTCTGTTAAACATTATTTCTCGCTGGTCAATTAATATTGAAGGTCGTTGATTTGAAGTGAAATCAGGCTCAAGTCTCTTTTCCCCCCAATTCACACTAGAGAAATCATTGTTGCTACTTCCTAAAAGATAAGATAAATCTGAGTAAAAAACGTTAATGGCAAAAGAAGATGAAGATTTTTCTTCTTGTTGAGATACGATTAAAGAGTCGAGGGAAAAATTCGAAGTCATTGGGAAGTTAAAAGTCGGAAATAATGGTTGTGAAGGAGTGTGTGCTTGATTCGGAATATATAATTCCTCGTCGGGTATTTCCATGTCTAAGCGAGTTCGCGAATTCCAATCAGTGATTAAATCTTCTCTTGTATCTGCACAAATTTTCAACTCAGAATCATCATTTCGTTTTTTGTTCTTTTTGCGTGAAAGAGAATTATTGTGATTGTTACTGTATATCGATGACTTCTTTATGCTTGACTTTGGTTTTAGATAATAAGATTTCGTCGTTTCTTCAATAGATTCTGACGAAACATCTGAATGATTAGAATTGGCAATTTTTGAAGCATTCAGGTTGTTGATAGACGACAACGACGACGAAGGAAGCGGTTCGACGTTCTTTGAAGTGTTATCAAATGAATTTTTAAGCGAAGATAATGATTTTTTTCTTGTTAATGTGAGTGAAATTTTTCGGAGTCTAAAAAAAGTTTATCGTTATTAACTACAAATTGCAAATCGAGACAAATAAAGTTCTTTAAACTTACAATCTTGGTTTATTTGATACCGATACTTTTTCGTCATTTTTCGAATATTCAGAGAGTTTAGTATCTTCTTTCAAAGTCAACAATGAGATTTTTTTCGTAACTAATTTCTGTTTGTTTTGATTGTTTTCCATACTTCTAACGTATTAATACGCAACCTAAAAAGAAAAAAGGAGGGAAGATATAATTTATTTAAAAAATCGAAAGATAAAATAGATAAACAAATCTAACGTTAATTTGGAAAAACTTCCAATTTCCATTTGATTATATACCAATACATGTACCAAATGCAAGTGCAATATTCTTTCTCATTTTCTATTTTATTGCCGTTACCGTTACTCTTATTGTTTCGTTGTTGCATTTAATTTTGATATCATTACACACATACACAAACAGTAATTTGTTAATTTTTAATTAAGGTACAAAAACTTTCCATACCGAGTTAAATAGGTAGGTCTATTTTTAGCTTCTCCCCTTTTAACATATAGTCATGAGTTAGTCTTGAAATTTTCTGCTTTCACTCCGCTGCCCGATTGGGCTTAATCCACCAATGCTGGGTTTTCCAATATTTTTTTCGCATCAATAAAAATATGCAGACATTCTGGCTATAACAAGGGTTATAGAATTTGTTACTCATTGGGGCTTAGAAATTTACAAAATGGGACTAATCCTTATAATCGAGGTTATTTTAGCAAACACTGCTATTTTTATAATTTCAACATCCACCGTTAAAAAAAGCTTACTGCACGAACTAATGCACAATTACCAAAAAACCGTTTCGTTTTATTACATACTTCATACGACTATTTATTTTAAAGACATTAATCTCATCTGTTATTTATATCATAGAAAGAAATTTGATTCATTTACCCCAGCAATTGTGTTTTTCTATTTATAGAAATAACTTAAATAAAATTATTTAGCCTTATCTGATATTCTTTCTTCTGTCGAGATGTTTAATGCATATCATGGGTTAGAGATATCTAAAATGTTGATTGACTGGTACAGACATTAGAATATGAAATAGTAACCCAAATATTAAAATGACGCAAGGGGGGAGAGGGGTTAGATATTTTTGACTTGATATGCAACGAACAATTTATGCGTTAAAAAAAGAATACTGTATAGGAATCAGAGAAATGGAATACCTGCTTCTTTTAACCTCTTGAGCTAAAAAAAAAGATGAACGATGATAAATTATTAAAATTACATTTGTATTATAATGTTAGCTTTGTGAATAGATATATGTATATCCCATCATAAGCGTGATCCGTGAAAATATCAATAAAATATTTCACAGAATGACAAAATCATTCATAATTAATATAGAAACAAAAGAATATTTTACATTTGTAAAGTATTATAACATAATATATATTTTATTTAGAGTTAAATACTAACTGATAATGAAATCATAAGTATAATTACAAATTAAATGTAACATTATTAAAATGACAATTATTAAATATTGAATGTTGATGTTGAAATTCATTAAATCTTGATCCTGAATCATATTATATTTTGTGCAGAATTCTTTGCATTATTATAAATTCAGTTGATTCTATAGATATTCCTGAAGATTCTTAATTTACTGAATTCAATGATTGTTTCTTAGTACCAATTAAAGTTTTCTTGTATCTATATGTTGTTGTTCATTAATATTCTTGTATGCATGTTGTGAATATTTATGTCCTGTAATTTCATAATAACATTTTCTAAATATTTGCATCTTGAAGAATTTATGCTGCAGTTTTTCTTCCAGAATGATTTGTCAGAATTCTATCTGGAAGTTTCATTTTAATATTTTGTTTAATATCTTTCATAAAATTACCAATCCTATTAAAATTACAATGTGTTTTATTATATCATATATTAGTATCTCTCCAATTTTGATTTGGATATAAATAAAAATTATTAGATATATCAAAAGAATATTTTAAAATATACTTTATAATATTACTAATAGATCCAGAAGTATCAGATAAATCAGATAGCAAATGAATAATATATACAGAATCTTTTTTAATTTCATGTTAATATTTTAAAATATTGATAAATATAATACTATTATTAGCTTGAATCTGAAACTAATTAATTTGAAGCTTATAATATTTACTATTTTGAAAAATAAAATAATTATTGGCTTTATATTTCTTTATCTTTTTTCTTTTTTATTTATATAATAAATTCAAATATTTATTTCTCAATAAGTTAAGGATTAATAATTATAATTATTTTAAATTTTTCAAAATTGATCATTTAGTTTTATATTATCTTTTTTATATTTAGAATAATAATTTCTTTTTAATAAAATTCAAGTTTTTTTCAATTAATTTTTATAGTTTTATTATTATTAGAAAAAATATTTGAAATATTAATATAAATATTTATAAAAATTAAAAATTAATATATTATATTAATTATTTTTTTAATTATTAATTTGATATATTTTTTTCTAATTTATATTAATAAAAAATTATTATAATATTATATATTATTAATATTTAAAGAATAAATAAATATTTAATATATTAGTTATAAATATATTATCTCTTATTATAAATAGTCTTAATATTATAATATATAATAATATTTAAAATATTTATAATTAATATATAATATTTTATAGCTAATTATTAAATATTTTTTATATATTAACTTGTTAAATATTATTATTTTTAGAAATATTAAAAAAATTTTCTTTAAAATTATAATAATAAAAAGATTTTTAATTATATATATTTATTAAAATATATATAAATTATTTAATTTTATATATATATATTAATATTAATATTATTATATTTTTTATAATTTAAGTATTTATTAAAATATATAGTCTAATACAAAAAGATTTGTACTTTAATATAAAAATTAATAATCAATAACATTTTAAATTTTAATTAATCTTTATAATTTTTTTATATCAAATAAAAATAATTTAAATTAACTTTTTATATTATTTTTATTCTATTATATTTTAATTTAATAATAAATAAATATTAATTTACTAAAAAATACTGAAATAAATTAATTTTTTAAAAAAAATATTTTAAATATTTTTAAGTATATATATTCTAAATTTCAAAAATTAAATTAATAATTATAAAAAAATTAAGATTTAAAATTTAGTAATTAAATTATTTATTATATAATTTTTATATTAATTTTAATTAAATTTATATAGTAAATTTTAAGAAATAATAATTTAAAAAAGTTATTATCAATAAAACTTTTTTTATAAAAGATATATAATAAAAATTCAAAAAAATTCTAATATTTAATAATTTAATTAAATAAGATATAATTAAAATTTTATTTAAAAAAATTATTTTTTTATATTAAATTATATATAAAATATAATAAATTATTTAATTATATATATATATAAATATTATTATCTTAAATTAAAAAAATTTGATCTTGAGATTTAAAGAATTTTTAATTAAATTTTTATATACTTCTTTAAATATTTGAATTACTTTTTGATTATTTATATAAATTATTTTAAAAATTTTTATAATACTAAATATATATATATATAATTATTATAAAGTAATATATAATTTTTTTAAAAATAAAATTTCAATATATATCTATTTTATTTTATTTTTATCTTATATATAGCTTTAATATTTCAAGATATTGAATTTATAATCTTCTTAAAAATTAATATATTAAATATTAATCATATTTTTTTAAAATAATCTTAAGCTTTTTTATAATTTATAAAATTATTTATTTATTATTATAAATAAGA